TGCAAAAGAAAATAATCTGTGTCCTCCACATTTGATACGTTTTAAAATCAACAAAACATTTTGGGGATATCACATTCCGGACAGAAGTGACAGAACGGATGAACTCGTTCTCCCTTAATATGAATTATTCATTCTGCATTGGGTGTTCCGAGCTTCGCAACATCACGGGTCATTCTGGGTTGAAAGAGCTGTACAGTATATCATCCTTTACACCGTTCGTCATAAGACTGCTCAGGTTTTTAACCTAAATTAAAATGCACGAATATAAATCCCTTTTTAGCTTCCTTCTCTGGCTCCGGGCGGATTCCAGAATAGTAGTCCAAATATTTGCTGAACACCTTTAGTGCTTTGAACAGCTTGGCTGCTGACTGCATCTGTGACCTGCTAACCCTTCCACATCTACAGCACATTGTTCGTGCTGTTCGGACTGTCAGTTGTCTAAACGAGGCTCCGAACAAGAGGACACTGTGCTTTCTGCTGTGTTTCTCTAAGTCTATTGTATGATCTCTCAGATATTCTGCACTTTCAAGCCCTGTGTTGAAACCCTCTTTTATACCGCATCTTTAAATCTTTACTGTTTGATTTTGTGTGTACTCGTCTCTTATGTTTGATTGTTTTATTGTACAGTGTTATGAGATGGGATTCCGTGTATGATGAAAGGTTTATTATGATTTAACATTGAGCTAGCAGCAGAGTCTCAAAGAATTTTTGCCTGGTTTATTGACAATGCACAGCTGTTTAAACTTCCAAAAAAGAAAATGTCAATGTTATTATTGCACGCCTAGTCTTAAGGGACTCTAATGGGATCCCTATTATTGTTGTGGTTAATGAAATGTAGTTAAATGCAGATATCCGTGACGATACTTTCACTGTGTTGGACAGTGGGAACCAGTCCCAAATTTGGTGAGTCTCCTGTCGCGAGGAAAAACAACACTTTCCACTTTGTCACTGATAATGCCGTATCCAACAACAGTGAAAACAAACCGCTAATTATTTCTATAATAATGGAAATTAAAACAATACCCCCAATTCCTGTGCCTTTCCTGATAGGAAGCCACAAACAAAAAACAACAACTAAAGGAATAAAGCAAGAGTTCGTCAGGTCGTGCTTCAAGTATTAGCATGTCTTGTCAAACCTGGTGAAAGACGGAGTTTCTTAAAATAACACTGCTTGGCAGAACAACACACTGGCACAGTCAAGTCATGAACTCTCAAATCTGTATACTTACAAGTACAAGGACTTTCGGTTACATTGTCCCTTTATCATTGTGGGATTATGTGGTGCCTCAGTCCTGCAGCAGGTGGACTGTCAGTGTGTTTTGCAGGTCTGCACTGGGTGTGTTTCTGCCTTCAGCTCTTTCTATATGTCCTGTAGTTTCAGGAGTGTTTCCTTAATGCACATACTGGGCAGTAGCTGTCCTGCACGGATATCTCCCTGGAAAATAAACTTTTGGACAAGCAATCCGTTCTGCGATTTACAATGACCGTGCAATGGCAGCATTCTTGAACCTTTGGGAATTTGTCAGTATGGTGCTCTACCAGGATCATCTGAGGCAAATTAGTTCCCACTGCCACTATAAAAATGGGGATCAGCTGTTTTTCCAATTCAAACCCTTAATTTGCCTATAAAAAAATGTATCTAACTGCTAAATAGGCTAGATGGGCCTCCTGTTTCTTGTAACTGTTCTTATTCTCTTATGACATCTTTTTATTGATTCATAAATTTATTCAGTATGGCCTCTAGATTAGAATGGATTACAAAACAGTTCCATAATTTATGACAGCAATGACTGAAATCTGATAACAGTAGATGCCAAACTGATACTAAAGTAAATACGGAGGTTCAAAGTTTTGTACAGGTGGCACAGGTGGCCCAGCCCCATGCAGGAGGTTTGGTGCTGATTGGAGGAGAGCTGTGTTCCTCACTGACAGCACCATAGACCTGCAAGCACCCAGGAGGCCACAGGGGGCGCTGTGTCACCCATGCCACCCAACCCTCAGCAGGGCTCAGATAATCGAGTGCCACCTCTTGGGGAACCCCAGTTCTGGCCTGCAAGGGACATGGCCCAGGTTTGAACCTACAATGGACCTCAACCTGTCAACCATGATTGCCTAAACCGGTTCAGGCACACAGAAAAACAGAGTGGAGTTCAGCCAGGCAATGAAGTAATGAGCCATACTCTGTCAAATCTGAGGGAACACATCTCCTCCAGCTCAGTGTCTCTCTGGTCACCAAACTAGGCTCTGGTTTCTTTCAGAAACTGGGCTACGGAAGGAATAGGGATATCTTTTCCAAAGAGGTCCCTCCAGACCAGCGCAGATCAGCCTTACTTAATGCCTGAAATCTGATGGCTACAAAGTGGCAACACTGTCACTGGATCATTTTCTCAGTTCATCGCCCTCCATCCATTTTCAGTCCACTTGATCTGGTGTGGGTTCTGGCACAGCTATTCACAGATTATTAATTTGTGAATGTTAGTAGTGACCTCAGTTACTGTATGTTGCCTTCTGTAATAATCCTCATTGTGAAGCACGGGGCCAGAGGATGAAGAGTTCACCCGAGGAATTTGAGGCTGGTTGTGTAGTTCGCACAAATCCCCAGAGGGCTTCACTTGAAGAAATGGGGAGTTCTCATGCTTTCCAGTTGTGTTGATTGTCTAAAACCTAAAAAAGTATTCAGATATTATAAAACACTGTAGAGTGAATGAGACAGCAATGCCTTATGCACTTTAATCTTAAATGTGAACAGAAATCTCTAATCTCTTAGAATGATCTATTTTTTCCTGTGTCATTTGAGATGGAAACATGATACATAAATGTAAGGAAGCTTATGCAGCCCTTTATAAACATACTCAAATTCATGAAGCAGCATTTTTTTAAAAAAACTGGATATAAATAACAGTTAAACTGTTAAATAAAGTCATTATGGATGAAAAATATTAGCAAAAGATCTGCCTATTATCAGCAGAATAGC